GAGAGAGAGAGAGAGAGAGAGAAGTTTCAGGCGCCCATGGAAGGCACGTCGTGCAGAACGTCGGCGAACTCGTGTGTGTTCCGTGTTCCGAATGCACGGAACAAGCGCTGCTTGTCCGCGGCCACCTGAGTTATGATCGCTGTGTGCCCACCCTGGCTGCTCGGCCTGCCTGCCTCCTCGTTTCCCTAACTGCCCTCTTCTTCTTCCTCGCCCTTCCTACTACTTTCACAGCGGCCATCTTGACTCCGGGAACCGGTTAGCTCCTCCGAGATCTTACACAGTCGGTGTATTCCAACACGTCGCGCACGAGATTTTACGAACACAGATATACCGAATGGAGAAAAGCCGAATGGAGCTTGTCCCCGAGCGCGACATCGACGCGATTGCAGCGCCCTCCTCGGAAGTCCGAGTCGGGTCTAACGCTCGACGTTAATGGCCCGTGTGGCGCGAGTCCCTTTCTACTGTTTAATAATGTCGTTAAGGCGGCATTTCCTATACGCGACGCGACGTCTGTCTCGGAGATTTCGTCGACTGGACAAAGCCTGCTCCTCTCTCTTTTTCTATGTGATTTTCACTTTTGCTCGACTTTTATTCGCCACCGTTAAGATCTGCTTTTGGACAGATTGCCGTTGCAATGAGTCTTTTAATTCAAGGAACTCACGAATCAAAATATAGATGATTTTGTCACATACATGTTTCTATTGTCGAGAAACACTTACGGGAAAATCTCTAACCTTTATATTTCATCCCCGGATGAATGAGTGTATTTAATCAGAGTATTAATTTAAAATATATTAGATGTTAGAGCTTAACACTAGAATTGATCAAAGTAATCGAAACGACCAATTTACAATTTTCCATAGAAATTCTACATATTTGTAAATGTATTTTTAAAGGATCGAATGATTTTTAGCAAAATATATAATATAAAACTTGTGTTCTTTTTCCTATTCCTTGCGCTTCAATTTCTCTGTTATAGCCTTCAATCAATTTTAATCTATAATTCTGATATTAAACATAACAGTTGATAACGCTATCTCATTGTACGAAGACGTATTATATATTTTTCTTACTATTAAAACCTTTAAATTTTTCTTACTATGACACATTTACTAAACCGATTCTCACTAAACCGATCTGACACAGGATTTATCGCTCCAAACAGCTGAATATCGGCGTCCGCATGTTTTCATCGAAGAAATAACCATCGTCATCATCTTTTAACTATTCGACACCGTCGACAAATTAATGCGCGAGAAACCGCTCTTTCGCGATTCGATCGCCGATGGGAGGGAAACGCGCGGCGCATTGTCTCGCGCGAAACGCGCCAACTTGCCAAGATAACGCTGCGTTTAATATGCCACCTTTGCTCCCCCCCCTTTCCTCACCTGCGTGCACGTCACGATACGCTGCGTGAGATTTATCTTTCATTAGTAAGTGATTTGCATTGAATAGACACGTTATGGGCTAACGGGTGGCTCGTTAATTGTTTGTTCCCGTTCGCTGTCTAACTGGCTGACGTCCGATACGCTGGCACCGCGGCGTGACGTCTTTGACAAGCTACACTGTAGATATTACGGCGGTTCGCAGCGTATCGGGGCGCTGCAGGTATGCGAAAAGGTGTAAGAGAGCGAACCGCAGCCCACGGCAACGAGGCGTGGTCGCCGCAATTACCTCGATAGAGTTACAAGACTTGTTTTATGCTCTCGCACAAATTTATTAGCCCCATTCGCGTCAGTTTAATTACGAACACGATCCGCCGCGATTCTTTCTCTCTTATCCCTCCTTTCCTCTCTCTCTCTCTCTCTCTCTCTCTTTCTCCTGAAGAAAGCCACGGACAAGTCGCAGCTACCGCCGTTCGAATCTTCGTTTGAAGAACGCGACTTTGTTCGATTTCTCGATGTTCTTCTTGAAAAACAACGGTTGAAATGGAAATGTTGAAAACGATGTTACGGAAAGCTTCCCTCGAAATTTTGGAAGATTCTCGAGGATATTCGCTTCGGTTAGGTTCAACAACAAACCTCGACTCGTCACGTACTCGATATGTTTCGAAAGAAATTTCCGTCGAAAGTCTACATATATAGGACACGCATCGATCGTGCAATTGCTTTGAAAAGTTCTAATGCTGCCGGCGAGATTCGTCAAAGTATCCAGGATCCTTCAAGATCCTTGCGGGATTATCGAGTTATCCCCGATAGATACGAGATTACCAAAATTTTCAAGACGACACTTCCGAGAATAAAAATATCTTCGAGAATTTCGAACTTCGAGTCGTATTCGAAATTTTTTGATCTACATATCTACTGAAACGACGAAATGATTTTTACATCGACCAGTGTCGCGTTTCACTTTGTCTCGAAGTTACTTTTATGTTTCAATAATCAACTGCTTATCTCCATAAAAAATGCTTGAAAAAGTTCGCAATTTTTTTAAAGTTTCAGGTGTACGTGGAATCTGTTGTACAGGATGATCCATTTGGTGAACTTTTGAAAAGCAGTAAAGAAAAACTTTGAATAACCTTGAAATACCAACGTGGAAAGGGTCTACACGTCTTCGTTTAAAAAGACAAACGTCATTTTGAAATCTCGAAGCGCTGTCTTCATCTAGATGTCCCCTCGAAACAAAATAAAAACTTGAAATATTTTTCCTACAACAGCGAGTTTAGGTTAGGTTCAGGTCCTATGCACACGGGCATAAAATACTTCGATATTGATAATAGTTGGATACACAAGTGTTGAAGAATAGCCAGAAACACAAAAGTTTAACTTTGAAACCAGGGCACGCGCGCACATGAACTTTTTTCATCATCTCCTGTGGATCCTACATAAATTTATGATACACCCTGTATATAGATCTCAATCGTTTCGAAATGCTTCAGATTCTATCATTATCCATTATTATCTACTATGAGGTAAAACCATGGAACTTGCTTCGAGTTGCAAATACAATACG